ATGCAATGTGTTAATTATTGAAACTGTCCTACCAATTTGATTTGAAACTGTTATTGCTATTGGTTTATCAGTAAAATTATGGGAAAAAATAATAAACAAATAAATAAATAAAATTTAAAAAGAAAAAATACATTAACAAATTATATCAAAGAAATTACAAAAGTAAAATTCCAAATTGAAGGACACAGTTTCCAAGCTGAATCATAAGAAGAAAAGGCAAGGCAAGGCCAGGCCAGGCCAGCCAGCCCACAGAATTCTAGGGATAAAGAAAAATATTTTATATTTTTCAGAGCCATAAAACACTTCACACACTTCACATACAACCAAATGGGAAGTAAAATACAGGCACCATGAATTAAATCACAGAGCACAGCCATGAACAAAAAATGGCCATGATAATGTAAAGATTAATGTTTACTTAAACACAGTCTATGACATGACTGTCAAGAAAAGCAGAGCCAAGAGAAAGGGTATAACAAGCTATATATCCTGGTTGTTAATCCCTTTATCAGATGTGTGGCTTGCAGATATCATCTCCCATTCAATAGCTGGCCTATGAAAAATCAATCCTCAGGAGAAAAGCAACACAAGCCTATTTTTTTTAATCAATGAATGGCAATTAATGCATATGCTGAGCTGTTTAGAAATGGGTAGCAGAAAATATAACTGGAAGAACTTAAAAGGGCTACCTGTGGGAAAGGGTGATAAAGAAATGGAGAGGGGCTTTATAGTACTATTTGAATTATTAAGCAATCTACCCAAATTACTTCAAAATACAATATGACAAAAAAGAGGAGAAAAGTGAGAGAGAGGGAGGTGCTAAAGAGGAGAGCAATGCCTGGTTTAAAGAATCAGTTCTACACTTCTTGCAGTTGAGGTTTTCAACGTTCACTACCCAGAAAGGACGAAAATAGCAACTGACTTAATATTACACATATGGCTGCTTGTAGCTTAGCATAAAATTTCCAATTACAGCACCATATGTAAATTATAAAAGTACTGATTACAAGTAACTAGAATATCATACTGTGAAAAACTATTGAATGCTTTGAAAATGTGACTCTACTCTGAAAACAACAATGTCATGTATGTGTATAAAGAGTTGGAAAAATTATTCTGATAGGAAAGAGTATTTTGTTTTGTACAAATGATTGCTCAATGTATACATAACTACATTAAATTATATATACATACATATATTGTGTTTATTTTATCCATATCCCCAAGTATTTCTTATATATCTTCAGTTGGCCACAAGAAATTACTTGTTTAGATCTTCCTACGAGAACAGCCAGAAAATAGTAACTAAACATAAAAAATTAAAACTCTCTACCTGAAACATGTTGTTTTTCTTCATCAGTTTTCTTTCCAATCTAGGAGAAAATAAATGAATTAAAGTGCACTGTTCATGAAATGAATTGCTTATAAGAAAACAACTCGCCAGCCATAGTGGCATAGCCCTGTAATCCCGGCATGCAGGAAGCTAAAGCAGGAGGACGGCCACCAGTTTGAAACCAGCATGGACTAGACAGTGAGTTCAAGCCAGCCTAAAGTATTGAGTAAGATCCTTCCTGTTTTTTTATAAACTAAAATCTAAATTAATTCCTATTCATTCTTGTTATTTATGGGGGAAGGAATGTCCTTTTCCCATTTACCAGCTTACTTCTGGTTGTCCTAGTATTATTGACAGTAAATAGCTATGACACAAAGCCAAGCAGAAGCAAGCATATAAATCCAGTGCTGAAAAAGAAAAACCAATATTACACACTACACCTAACATTATAGTCTGGACTTGTACCACATAGTATATATTATTTTGTTAGTATATATTAAATATAACAATATATTATATATTAATATATTTTATAAAGTTATAGTTTTTATATAAATTATCCCCTTTCCATTCAGACAAACAACTGCTAGTTGAAGAAAGAAAGTGACTTTTACAACCTGTAAGAATTATAATTCGGGGGTAAAAAGAAGAAAAAAATGTTTATATTTTCACCTTTACCAAAATCTAATTAACAGCAAGCTACGTGGTATAATTACAGAGCATATACACAGGCAAATGATCAAAGGAGTTACATATAGAATTAATCCACTTTACACTAAAGGCTTAAAAATCCTTCCTCTCTTTTTATTTCATTAAAGACTTTTTTAACTAAAATATGACCCTTCAATACAGATCTATGAATATATATATATATATATATATATTTTGGTTTTTTTTTTTAATGAATTTTAGGACAGGGTATACAGGGTTTCACTAAGTAGATAGGACTCTCAGTCCTATCCTAAAATAGGATTCTCCTGTTTTCAGCCTCCCAGATGCTGGAATTACAGGCGTATGCCACCACGCCCAGTCTCAATGGCAGTCTCAGGGGCGGGCCCAGCACACAGAGGATCAAACCCCAGCTGTTGCGCTCTACCTAAGCAGGCACTTTAGTCCACTGAGCTATCTGGCCGGCCCTAGATCTGTGAATATTTAACTAGCACACACATACATGCAAATTAAAATACTACAGAAAAGGGGCAGGTACCTTTTTAAAAAGGTAATAAACGTTTTTATTTGTCTATTACATATACACAGAAACCCAAAAAGCTTGAGTAGCTCAGTAAGGTTTTTCTAAGGTGAGCACATGTAACCACCACTTTCCCAAAAGGTTACTATCGCGCTGGCTTCAAATCCCACACGAGCCTTGTCTGTCGGCAAGGCTATCTGAATAGCACTATAAGGGCGGCGACCTGGCGCTGCGGTCTCCGCGCCGGGCTAAATAGCACTACTACTAAGAACTTATCTGATAGTCTTTAAGACTCCCTGTATTTGGACTAAAATAAAATGCTTTAAGGGGACAGAAGCAAGTATTGGCTGGCTCTAAGTGACGTCATTTCAGAGGGATGACACTGCTGGCTGGCTGGCTGGTTGAGACGAATCTCCCAGTTCTGCAGAGACTGCAGCAGCTGTTATGTTACAGGAATGGAAGGAAAAGGGCCTTCCTATTGTCCAGGGTCAATGTGCTGCTGGGCCTGGGTGGGGAAGGTAGAAGTCAGGGAACACTCACCAGCAGGAGGAGTCTGGCCTCCTTTGTACGGTACAAAAACACTCTATGAAACAAAGACACTAACTTGTACATGTAGATGCTAGACTAAGCTACTAACCCATTATTTCACCTGACCTTCCCATTCCAATGAAAGCTGTGTTCCTCCTCCTAGCCAACAGGGAAGAAGCAGCGATACAGTGTCTCAAACCAACAGCAATGAAGCAAATTCATTCCTCTTTGAAGTTTGTATTCATGAAAGCAATGATACAGTGTCTCAAACCAACAGCAGTGAAGCAAATCCATTACTCTTTGAAGTTTGTATTCATGGTTACAGACACGGTAAGCAAAATGAGAAACGTTCACAGAAACAAAGTCACATGATCAGATGCACAACACATTGTGTTGTCTCTGCCTGCAACTCATTTAAAGAAGTCAAGTTTTCAGGATCCAAAGTTTTCTAAGTTATCAAGAGTCATATGGCTCTCTCAATCATGCAGTAGCCATTTACCTTTCTATACCTCAAAGGAATGGTTTCAGCAGAAACCCTGATACATCCCAAACTGTACTGGCATGGTTTTCTTGAATGGTTTCCCTCTGCAACAAGAAGATACCAGAAGAACAGGGTGTCCCTAGGAGCCAGTCACAGATGTAGACAGACAATCTGTGACCAGAGTTACTGAGGAATCCATGAAAATGGTACCTCCCAATGGCATGCATGAATATTTAATTTTTATCCTAAGTTCTTTCACAAAGAGGGAGCCAAAGGGGAACATAGTTCATAAAGGGAAAAAGAGAAAAGGGGTGAGGGGGAAGAGAGAAGAGAATGGGGGAGAAAGAGAGAGAGAGAGAGACAGAGACAGACAGACAGACAATTGACTTACTTTTAAGATAATATAACAAATATATAACAAGTATTTCCCCCACTGAGGTCAGGGGTTGGTCCACATTGGGTCGCATGGAGGGAAGAGCCAGCAGGCCGGGGAAAGCAGCTACCGAGCTGTCCCCCATCCCATCCCCTAGCCATGGGTACTCCTGAAGACCAGTGATGCCTCCATCAGGAATGCAGAGGAGTCCAACCACAACCCCCTGTTTGAACCAATAGTGTTTCTTCCTCAGCAAAAAATTAAAACACTGGAGGAAGATGAGGAACTTCTAAAAATGCGAGCAAAATTGTTCTGATTTACTTCAAAGAATGACAGCCCAGAAGAGAAGGGACAACCAGGGCATGGGTGAAGTTTGGCTCTTAAGGATAAGGGAACCATCCCCCTCTGGAGAAAGGACAAGACCCTGAAGATATGCATCAACCCCTGTATCATGCCCACAGTGGAGTTAGTGCCAAATGATGGTGGCAACCTTTGCCAATGAGTAACCCAAGCCAGACTGCTGAGAATGCACAAAAAATGGAGATCAGAGTGTGAAGAATGCAGGTAAGAGACTGAAGACAGAGAGGGAACTAGGAATGGGCAGAAGCTGTAACCATGACAAGGCAGCGTTAGAAGCTCCCCCTGTGAAGGTGGAGAACAAGGTCCCCGGAGAGGAGACCAGGAGCAGCAGGAGAAGCCATGAGTCCTCCTACTTTCTCTTCTCCTCCTTTCTTTCTCTTTTCTTAAAATTCTCCTCTCCCCTTCTTTTTGTTTCATTTTTAATTCTGTTTTGTTTCTCCTGTGTCTTTACATAAAGAACTTAATTCCAACAGTCAGGGCCTTTTTTGTTTTGCTTTTCTAAGTTTTTACCCTATTGAAGAGGATTTGAGAAAATCTATTCCCTGGTCATAAAAATGTACTGTGCTAATTTTCTTTTCCACAGTGAAAACTTATTCATAGTCATCAAAAATAGTAAATTAAAACATGCACTTGAAACCTGAAAAAAAAGATAATATAGCAAAGACCTATAGCTAAAAAGGTGTTCCTGCCTCCTCACTGGTAAATATAAAATAGTACCTCTGTCCGACAGAGTAGCACTCATATTTAATGCTCTAAGATAGGTGACATGAAGGGTTAGAAAATAGAAATGTCAACTGAATCATATGCTAGCACTGGAGTCAGAGGCTATGTAACTTGCCCAGTGTCAAAACTGCAATCTGAGAAAGAAGGAAGGGTTTGAAATCAAGTCTAGCCCATATTTCTAGGCTATAGTGTTGAAATGACAGCACTGGTTGAAATGGTAAATGTCTGTACCCGACTGCTTCTCACTCTCAAATCATTCAGCGATCCTCTGGCTACTTTCTACTTTCAAACTGCTTTTGCTATCATCCTAGGAAAAGGACACTGACATTCCTTCCTTCTGTGAGATGCAATGGTCTTGTTAGCAAGAGGACTGAGGACAGGAAACATAAACTGGCCTGAAGAACAGACTCCAAGAATTACAGTAACTGTGAAAGGTGCTGAGAGCAAGGTGGCCTCGGTCTACAGGGTCTCACTACATAGATCAGACTCGTGGTGATTCTCCTGCTTACAGCCTCCCAACCGCTGGAATTAGAGGCATGCACCACCACACCATCTCAATCGCCATCTCAGCATGCCCCTGGGGAGGGGAGTGGCATGGTACATCAGGGGCCGGGGATCAAGCCCTGGCCACTGCGCTCTGCCGGAGCAGGCACATGAGTCTGCTGAGCTATCAGGCCAGCCCTACGGTGACCTTTCTTACACGTGATCTAACACAGGGAATGCACAGGAAACGCTGCAGGCATGTTTCTGCAGTGGACACATTCCATAAAGATACATGAAGTTCTTCCTGAAACCACTTGAGTAAGCCTGTTACCTGTTGTATCGTGCACTGGAAAGTTTCCAGCTTTGGCTCTAATTATTAGGGCTAAGAATAGGTGAGGTAAGAATCTGAAGAAATTAGCCCAGTGACATTCAGAGTGCCAGAGATACGACAAGGTATCTTTCTAGTCTCAAAAACTCTAGCATAGCAATATATTTGCTCCTGTGTGTTCACTAATGGTGATTTGTTCTCAAGAAAAACATGAGAGAGGAGAAGCAGGTTCCTAAGGTGAGGAGGGAAAGGATTAACAATTACAAAATTCTGTAAGACCCAACTTCCCTCTTAAGCTGATGTGTGTATAATTCTTTCAACTTTGGGGTAAATCTAATTGACTGACAGGCAGCAGCTGCCCAGGAGTAGCCCTCAGAAACAGGGCTGAAAGTCACTGCCAGTGCACCTCATGGGCATATGTCAGTTTTCATAGCCCCACTGAAACCCTTTGAGGCAGTTTAATTATTTCTTGTCCAGGAAAAACTGTGTGCAATTAGACATGAACATTAGAGAGACCAGTAATAGCACAAGAACAATTATGTTTTCCATTAAAACTGCACTTTATTAGAATAGTA